CCCCAAAACCCCAAAACCCCAAAACCCCTTGATGCAATTATTAGGCTAATTATGTTAAATTATAGATAAAATAAATAAAATGTAAAATAGTAACATTATGATGAATGTTAAAAGAAGTCATCATTTAGATTAGCAATCTCTCACTCCTATTAAGCCTTACTCTTATAAGCAAGCAGGACTATTGGACTATGATTAAGAATAAGTTTCTCTCCCAGTCATTAAGACCAAACTAAAGTAAGTAATTTAAGTTGAAAAAATTAAAACATTCCTAAGCTCTCTGATTTTTTATTAAATTTTACTCCCACAAATTGGAAAATCAGAATCTTACTATAATTGTATCTAATGCATTGCTATTTTATAGTTATTGATTATTAAATCCAGTTTTATAGCAAATTTAAGAAAATCAAAAGAAAGAGGATAAAATCTCCCTCTTTAAGAGAAGATCAGCTTATATCCATGAATATGGCTCACAGATAAACGAAGCAGCAAAATCTCAATTATGAATATGAGGAGAGATAAAACAATAAGATAGCGAAACTGCTCAATATAGATTTCAGCGATTCAGATCTGAATAGAGAGGCTCAAAATGTTAAATTCCCTAAAATACCCTAAAACTTGGATGGTCCAAGAGATATAGTAAAAAATAGGCGCCTATAAAATGATTAGAGTGTGCTATCAGTTTAGCAGAAAAGCAATACAACCATGAATGTAATCCATGATAATTTAAATAATAGCTACCGTATTAGCTCTAAAAATACAACTGCTACACCTATGCTAATTGACAGCAAGACAAAATTTAATTAATTCATAGAAAATACACTAGCATCAACTACCTCTGCATACTAGAGCACCCCATTCTAGGATCACTATGATAGATTCGCTAGGAGATATGACATGCCTAAATATAAATAATCTCACAATGATAGCACTTAATATACGCCAACACCACTTAGTTAAATTAAAATGACTAATTCAAGAATATCTGGCTCTAGATAAAATATTAATTAGTCTTCTAACAGAGTACTCATTTAAGATGATTTTGTCTGGTAAAATAATATTCCTGTGTAAAGAATTAAGCCTCAATATACTATGGAGCAGCTAGAAGAAATGCAGCATTAAAGAGAAACAAAGATGAGAGAGCATCAAAGTAGAGTTAAGTTCATTGTAGAAAAGCTTACTGGAAGTAGAAAAACTAATAGATTTTGCCCATGCTGTTCCTATAAGTATGATTCTCCTTATGAGCAGCCAGTTCATCATCATACCCATCATAAAAGACTAAAATCTAGAAACGCCAGTTTCAAGAATAATTAAATCATTACAAGTCAAAATAACAATATACATCTGATGAGCGATAACAATATCATGAGTTTGCCATCACACAATCTAAGTTTTCTCAGGAAAGGAGAAAGTAAGTTAGCATATAAAAGAGTTCCAGATGGTTTAAAGCTTAATAAATTTCCTGAAATCAGTGATACACTTTCAATGAATTCAGCATAGATAAAGATATTAAGACCAAAATTTCATAATCCTAGAAAGAGAAAATGGAATATAAATACAAATCCTAATAATATTCAGCATCATTCGCTATCTTAAAGAAGAGATGAAGGTCTAAGCCATCATAACCATAGTCATCACCATCATTATCCAAATGACTTAAGCAACAATAGTTTTAAGCTATCTCATACAAACTCACCAAGATTTGGCAAGAAAAAAATGTCTTAAGAAGTGAAAACTAGATTATATGGCTCATAGGACTCACGCAAAAAAATCTGCTCAACAAATCATAACCACATGAGACCGATTGATATAAAAAGAGAGCAATTATCACCTCTGCTTAAGCCGAGGCCTCTATCTGCTGAGAAAATACTTAAACATGATATTAGTTTGTCTCCAATTTAATTCAGTCAGCTAGATGCGGATAATCAAGTTTCAGAGCATGCCTTTTCAGCAAAAATCAAATTTAATGAATTAGAGATTTAAACTGGTAATCATCTCTTGGACAATTTTAGATGGAAAGAAGAGAGATCTATAGAGATTGGAACAGAGCCAATAGTAGAAGTTAAATTGGATTAGCAGTTAACTATAGAAATGAACATTGTTAAAGAAAAGAAGATCAAGCAGCAGCCTACTCTCAAGTATGATTGGGCTGAATCAGAAATATTTAAATCAGTAAATGATAAGCATCAATAAGTAAAAGAAATATAAAGAAGGATGACTCTCAGGGACAAAGCAAGTATGAATATGCAATAAGATTCCATGTTGATATCTCAAAATAGCAATAATTAAAAAGAGTTGAATAAGTCAGTAATGACAGTTGGAGGACCCTCACTTATTGATGATAAGCTACTTGATGCAATTACATAAATGCCTATAACGAATAGCAATTTAAAGTAGTATTAAGATAAGGCTGAACCAAATAATAATGATGGTGAGGCTCTAGAGCAAGATAGTCTAAACTAAGAGAATTTATAATTTTAAGTGGCAAACTAACCTATAGTTGATACTGAAGAAATCAAAGATCTTGACACTTAATTAATGACTTTTAACAAATCTAGGAACGATTAATAGGAAGGAGAAGAGGGTGCTGCTAATCTAGTGTAAAACTAAAATACTCATAAAACTGCTGTTTATATTGAAGATAATTACCCTGCTAATTCTGATTCTATGAATAATAGAGAAAGTGGTGTACTCTCATAAGATTAACCTATAAATTTTAATCCAGACAATGAAATCTTAGTCATATCAAAATCCATTAAAAACATATCAGCTTAGAAGCAGCTAATTACAAAAAATTTGAATTAAAATAGCTAAGATATAGCTTTATCTGAGAAAAACTCTTATGAAATAAATACTATTCCATTGAATGAATTACAGATATCAAATGTAAATAATCAAGATTCCAATAAATTAGGTAATGGAGACGATAATAGTCTGACTCATCCTCATAACCCACTAGACCCTTTAGCTGATGATGAATTATTGTATGTAAACTTTGATTTAATATTCTTAATTTCATAACCCTCTAATACTGTACTATAGATAATTTAAACATGAAATATACACAGAGATAGAAGCAACATACAAAGCATCTTTGCTTAAAAAGAAAGCAAAGACTTATAACAATCCTGAAAATCTTTTGGAATTCCATGTCAAAGCAAAGAGGACAATAGAAGTACTTACTTACAATATGATATAGGCTGATGTGTCGCTTGATCGTATATTTGAATATTATGAGGATATAAACCGGCCTAATGTGATTAAGATGCTTTTGAGATGTAGACTACTATATTAGGCTAGAGTTGATGTTCGAAAGATACTTTAGCTAATTATAAAAAAGGAGGAGATGTATGAAGAATTAAGCCAAATAATGATGTTAGGAGAGAAAAATTTAAAGAGAATAGATCCCCTTTAATTATCCTCCTTAATTGATGATGGATTGAGACTAATTTAGAGACTTTTAAGTTCAATAAGCAATTTTAAGCATGAACATAAAATATTTAAGGGTTAATTTCTGTTTAAGGGGTAGGATTACTCAGAAACGCTAGTCCAATAGAGAAATTAGATATAAGATTTTGTATGGGAATCAGGGTTGTAAGAAACTATGTATTCATATAGAAAAAGTGACTTGCTCAATAGAACTGGTGATAGATTCACAGAGTTCAAATTGATAAAGGATTAGATCGAAAATGATGAATAAAATCTAGATCAGCAAAATAGCACATTGTTAAAGGAGGAAATCTCCTAGGAAAATGATTAAATTTAGCAAGAACCTCTACTTAGTTCTCAAGTTTTGGAACAGTCAAGTGATATTAAAAATTACAAAATTCTTTAAGCTGCAATGGATCAAATCTAGAATGATGAAGTAGACTTATTGAATGAATAGTAAATAAGAGAAAAAGATTAAAGATAAAGTAAAGACGAAATAACAATAATTAATGAAGACTAGAGTATTGCTAAGGGAATAGTAGTTGAGGAAGAAAAATAAGATTATGACAACAACTTTATTTAGGAGGAGTAAGAAGATTAAAGATTAGGTGAAGTTTAAATTCAAGAATCTATTGACTTTGAATCACAGTAAATTAACCAAGATATGAGCCCAAAACCTCTATCTGTCATAGATGAGTAAATAGACAACGAACCATCAATCAATCACATTGAAGCAGATATTAATACAGATGCTCAAGTCTCTCGCCAACAAAGTGTTAGACAATCAAATTAAGTTATAGAGTATGAGGATGGTATAGAAATGAATCATTTGAAACCTTTACCTCTGAACAACTTGACTGCGTAGCAAAGTGAGTAAAACGACATTGATTATCTCATTAATGAGGATGTAGCTAGCAGCCATAAAAATTCAATGGCTAACTTAAACTCAAATCAAGTATCCATGAAAAATTTAAATATTAAAGACAAAAATGATAAGCATCAATATGATGACTATTTTTGAATATATAAATGTATTAATCTTTAATAGTATATTTAGATTTCAAACAAGTAATCAACTTTGTTGGGGGTTTTGGGGTTTTGGGG